AAGTTATAAACGCAGTATGTTTTTCAAAGAACTAGTTACTTGAAATTTGAAAGGAAAAGCTGTTTAGGAGATGAAAAGAGAAAGGACGCAAGATGTTCCAGATGAAGTAAGAGGAGCACGTCTGTAATTCACATTTTTTGGTCACTCTGGCTAGTTGTCATCGTGCTGCTGGGACATGATCAGAGCTGTTGAGAACAGTGTATAAACACCCCCTCTTCCTGACACACATACTCCTGACATTTCAGTAACATTGTCTCAAATCAGTGAGCAGCTTTGTTTTTCAACCCCAAGTTACTGAACTTAAGAAATTTTATTGATAATGTAGCCCAGCTCCCAAATAAATTCCTTAAATAACGCAGCTTCCCTGTCTACAGTTCTGCACTGGACAGTGCTTCACCTGCCCAGGTGTTCTCCACGATCGACTATGGAAAGCGTCGTTACAGAGCGAGGGAAAAACCCAGGTAAACAGGTGGAGAGAACACCGGGAAAACGTCAGGGAGAATTACACGTTAATTCAGGCTGGCTGGAGTGGTGGGTGACAAGGATGGAGCCCAACTGTGGAATTTCAAGGAAGACTAAGGATTCAGAACATTACCTGTTCAGTAGTGGGGCATCTGCTAGGCAGGAAGGCTAAGGCAGCCACAATAGTGGGCGGGTGACAGCGGGAGGAAGGAGAGGGACAGGGTGACGGCCGGAGGTGACAGCTAATGAGGACTAACTGTGGGGCTACAAAAATGAGAAGAAGTGTGGCTGTGGGAATTTACTAAGTAATTGGATGTTGACAGTGAGGAAAAACCCTTAATCCTGACCCTGCTCATGGAATTCTGGGTGACAGAAGTGTAATGATACCATTAGAAAAGAGAACACGGGAGGAGTGGAGAGGATTTAACTCTGAGCACATGGAGTTCTGAGTTCGGGCTGGGTCTGGGGCCCTGCTGGGCGGCGCATCCGCTTGGTGCCGGGTGTGACATGGAGGTGAAAGGGCAGCGAGTCTGAAGGGCAGCGTCCAGGCCAGAGAGGAAGGGAGCCGGGGGAGGGGAGAGGGCTGCGGGCGCAGGACGACGGGAGGAGAGCGCGAGAAGGAGCAGGATGGACTTGGGGAACGGGGTGTGAGGGGTTTGGGGACCCACACAAGCAGCAGGACCAGACGACAGAGGTACAGTCAGAAGTCGGAGCGGCCCTTCAGAACTGGGGGCTCTGGGTTTCTCCTTCTGAACTCACAAGCTTCTGCCCTAGATGCCCCCTCTCACGTCTCCCCTGCCTTACGAAAAAAAAGCTGCCTTTCATCCGCAGTGTTATCTCAAGTGACCATTTTCTCTCTCTTTACCCCCATTATTACCAAAGTCACACAGAGCTGAACATATTTCATTAAATAACATGAATTCCATGTGATACATCCTGTTATTATAATGATTTTAACATGGTTAAAAGTTGCTTTCGAATTGTGGTCATGCCGCCTGCATGGAAGCAGGTTTCTCCTTGAGCGCCCTGCCCTGCTGGCGTGACCTGCCTCGGTCTGCTAGGCGGCAGACCCCCAGCTACAAGCCCTCCCCCTGGGCGGGACGGGGAAGGGGCCGGGAAGGGGAAAGCGCCGTTCCTCCCAGAATCCTCGGCCCCACGAAGCGTTCTCGGGAAAGTGCTGAACCACAGGCTCAGCGTTTTCAGGTGTAGCCTGCTCTGCCATTCAGTGAACCAGCAGGCTTGGAAATGGTTTTTTAGGGAAGGCACTGGACTTTCTTTTTGAGTCTAACAAGTTTTAAGCACGACGGCTGAAGTTCAGCAAAGCTATTAGAAAATATAGGTATTTTGCAGGTCGGTTATACCTGAATATAAAATAGTGAGTTACCTGCCACTCACCAACCCTCTTGACTTTGCCTTTTTCTACTATTGAGAGGGGAAAGCTCAAAATACCCAGTTTCTCATCTTCTGTTACAAGTAGGGTCACACAGCACTGGCCAGTGGGATGTCGGCGTACAGCCCTCAGAGGAGACTTTCCTTCCTGATGGAATCCATCCTGGAATGCCTGCCTCGAGCGTCCTGATGTAAGACCAAGAAACCCTGGTGTTTATGCTAGAGTTAGGGTCTCTATCATTTACACCCTGATTCGCTTCTCATTCTTACTGTTTATTGCTGCTTTAGTATAAAGCGCATGCTTAGGAAGTAAATGGATGGATGTGTGCTGAATGTCGCTTCTGGGATGCACTGAGATACTAACCATCTTAGAACGGAGGGGAAACTGCTTTTACCTTGTGTATTCATAGAGTGCTGGGACGATGCTTCGGTACTGTCTTACGATAGCCAGCAATGCACCAACGTACCCACATAAAATGAGCAACTCATTTCGAGCTCTGAAAGAGGAAATATTTATGCTTTTAATTATGTAATTTGAGGTACAGAACATTGTTCTCATATATAGTTACTGTACTTGTATCTCGGTATTTTGATGAGTGACATTTACAGCAAAATATGCTTAGAAAAGTTTCTAAACCTGAAGATGTCTTAGTCATCAGTTAACTCCTATTCAGACATGAATACAATAACACAAACTGTAATTTAAAACAGAAGTCTTTAGAATATTTAACCCTTGCCTTCTCGCTTTTCTCTCTGCCTTGTCTGGCCCTCCGCGTAATTTCTCCTTAAGTTAACTCCTTTGGTCAGATTGAGGGATTCCTGGCGTACTGTGTGGACTCTAGGGAAGGCCAAAGAACACCCCTGCAGTCCCCACGGAGTACACTTGCCAAGTGTCACCAGCTGCCATGCCGTCCTTTCCACACGGCATTGCAACAAAAGTGCCCAAAGCCTCTATCACAGATTGTATGTAGTCTCTGGGGGCCTTAGTTACGTGGGTAACAATACCTTAAAGGGTATCTGAGTTCAGGGATGTTGTCTGTTTTTTAATTTCTAGCTCTTTCACTTTGTTCCCCAACCTAGCAGGCTTTGCACACGTGGATACTGAGATATGACCAGTAGATAGACCACCAAGGACATGAGGTCCAAAACCATCCCGAAGCTCTGAACTAGCCCCATTCGCACCAGGTGTGTCCGTGTGTGTCTGTGTGTACATACACATGTACCTGCACACACACTAGGTATTAGGACATGGGGCCACTAGGATTTATTCTTTGTTTCCAATTGACCTCTGTATTTTCACTTAAGACTACAACAAATAGAAATACAATTTGTCTACATGTGCATCTACGTGTCCAGGATGAGCTCATTTCTTGATCTGAACACCAAAACCAACACAGCCATTTTGAAACATTACGTAAGTTCAGCTACGCATCTTGGAGAAAAAGTACTCACTCGGTACACGTATGCAACATTAACTTCTCAGTACGAATATAACTCAGTAGGTCAAGAACGGGGTAAACGGTATCTAGACTCCAGTCTGAACTACCGATGTGTCCTGGCAAAGCAAAACCAAACAGAAGATTCTCTAAACAATAGTACTAAGCTTGTTCATCCAGTTTTTACCGTATGTAACTGATTCTTTTCTGGTCAGTGCTGTCCAGCTCTTTATCGTCTAGATCACAATCAGGCCCCGACACCATACCGTCAGCAATCTCTTTCCTTTTTAAATTTAGGATGACTAGCGCTGGACTTTAAGGCTTTTTCGCAACATGAGTGAAAATATCAAACAAATGAGTAGATTTTAAATTATTCTACCAACTAAAAACTTACCTTTGACAAAGTCAATACCAATAGGAAGGGCCTTTTCAGGTTCTTGACTTAACAAGTAATACTTTACGCTTTCAAATGTATTGCCATCGGCCTGGGCTGTCTCAGCTAACCGCATACATTCCTCCACCATGGGCAGCTTGCACTAGAAAACCATTGGTTTGAAGATAACGTTACTAAAATTTACAGAGACAAAAGCCATGATATAAGTACTAAGTCATTCCTTGTGCCCAGTAGGTTTTTCTTATTAAGGCTGCTCAAAATAGATGTAAATAAAATAATTTGTACTAAGAACATACATTTATGGAAATATCCTTAAGATCAAATAACAATACAACGGGTATTACCTAATGAGCCAGTAGTTTTAATCACACAAATATCGAATAAAAGAGGTAGAACTAAATTGTCCTGATTGTGAAACTGGAATTAGTACCCGCCAACGTGATTTAGCAGGGAATGCTGAAATCAGTTATCCTTTCACAAGCATGTTCCCTGATATCATAAACACACACACTCATTCACACACACTACCTGGATTAACACAACACTCAGTAACTATCCCAGTGTCAAAAACTATATTAAATGCAGAAAACATAAAAGGTACGTTCTTATGTCACTCTTATGTGTTCT